TCTGTTACTGAATTATATGATGGTACTTAGAAGTCTCTCTCACTAGAGATTGACTATGTTGGCAAGGCCTGTAGAAATAATTTTCTTGAATTTACAAAAGATGTCATGGCTTTAGAGAAAATTTAACATTGTTTCATTCCAGAGAGTGAGAAACAGCTCACCTTTCTCAGGGACACTTATATTTTGACTGTAGATTTCAGTTGTAGTTCATTGGCATCATCTTGGCTTATAAAGTAGATTTAGAATTGTCTGAAAAACCCAGTGTTATACAAATTAACAAACACTGCTTTCCAAGCACAGTAGCTTTTTCTTGACCTGCCTCGACAAGTAGGATACTTACAGTAATTTCAAACATGCTGTGTCATGGATAGACTGCAGGGCGTGAAATAGGTCACAGATAGTGGTCCTCCTCATTGATTGAACTCATAGGCAGCTAAGACCAAACACAAAGGGAAACCGTGACCACGGAATGCTGCATGGGAGACCGGGCTGTGCTGCCGAGGGCAGGGAGCGTGGTACCAGTGTCAGTCCCCCCAGTCCTACCTCCACAGCCTGCACCTGGCGCTGAGCAGGGCCGGGAGTAAACACCAGCTGTCTTGGCTGAACGTGGAGTGTCCTCAGCAACCACCGTTCATGCCAGGATCTGAGCTGGGGGCCAGAGCATCACCAGGTGTGTCCTGCAGCTCAGCTCCTCCCTCTGCCCAGCCCCCTCCCAGCTGCCAAAGCTGCTAGTCTTCAATAAACATTTTTCAATTTAAACTGTACCTCAGGGTCAGATTTTGAGGAAATAAACCTGCAACAATGAACTCTGTTGTTATCACCTTGAATGCTCGTAAATAAGAATTCAAGCTGCGCAAGCCATTTGACCTATAAAAACGGCAGTTTCGCAAGGCTTAAAGTAACCTGTCACAGCTTTCCTGCAGCATTCTCAGAAGCAGCAGGTGCCTTCAGGAGCTACAGCTCTTTTGTGTTCTTGGAATCGGGTCTGCCAGCCCCGAGGGCTCACCACGTCTGTCTGCACGTGGTTTATTTCAGGTACTTGTCACCGTGCCTGCCTGCTTTGAAATCCTGCTGCTGGCTCCTCATCGCCAGGCGTGGGTGAAGAGGATCAGATATGTGATACTTGATGAGGTGGGTGGGGTATGATTTCTCCAGGTTGAGTTCCTCGTTTGGCCACCTGAGGGCGTTTGTCATTGGTGGGAGTTGGGGTTGGAGGTCCCTGGATTCCCGGGTGAGTCACGCTCAGCCTTTTGGCTCCGTTTTCCTGTTTGGACTCAGGGAGGGGCGCCGGGTCTGCAGACCCTTGTCTTTGGTGACTTGGAGCAGAATTAACCACCAGGGCATAGATTTCCTGGATAGAGATTTCAAACTCCAATCTTGGATCCTTGCAGCAAAGATACGGGGCTCCGACAGTGATGTCAGTTATGTAAGTTACTTCATCAGTCTTGGTCCCGATAGAAAACAAATGGCACTCAAAATAGAACAACTTGAGAGCAGCCTTTTCCGCAGGTGTGCAGAGGATGCTGTCATCCAGAGAGAGCAGCTCCGCCCGGGGCTTAGAAGGACAAGCAGAGGGGCGACCACGGAGCCCCACAGGGAGACTAGAGCTACACTGGCTTCTTGGGGAAGGCAGTGGTCTGAGCCCTGGGTCCTGCCGGGCTCATGGTAGCCTGTTAGGAGGACAGCATGGCCCAAAGACCCATCCTGTCTTCTGGTCTCCTGCCAAAGTCGCCTTTGGCCAGATCTGATGGAACCAGAGGGCGGAGCAGCCCTTTGAAGGAGCCTCTGCGTCAAGTTTCCCTGGGCAGAAAGGGCGGGATGGAAAAGAATGGATATAGAATAGGGCAAATTAGTCTTTAGAAAACTTTTATAGCAGCCTTAAGAATATTTATCCAGAGACTTAAAATGACCCTTTTGCTCCAAGGAATTTTCAGTTTAAAGTGGAAAATGGTGATAAGCCTGTGTCTAACTTAACTTTTCTTGTGTTGTAAACTTGGAGTGACCAAACACGGTGATGCTTTTCTTTGGTTTGAGTCTGATTTATTGTGTTTATTTTTGTTCGGTTTGTATAAACTGCGTCTTGAAGCCTCGAATGTTCATGTTCAAAAAAAAAAAAACACCCGAACAACGTCATCTTTGCGATCTAATCCCTTGAGTTCTGCTCTTATCTCTGAACTCTGAAATGGTGTGACGCTGGGGACCTGCTTCCCAGTTTTAGGTCAGGGCAGAGCTGACGGGCTTTGAAGGCTCATGTCTGTT